AGGATTTGAATATACATCTTGTATACTAGATGTCCTCAACTTCTAGGCAGAGGGGTTCTCTCTTGCTGGAGATTTCTCTCAAAACTTAGAATCCATCTTAAAGGGGATAGCAAGGGACAATCAATGAGAAAAAATATTCATCAAAAGGTATTAAACAGGAAGTAAAGTAATTATTGAAAAAAAAGAAAAAAAGCTTCTGTGAATGTTAACATGCAGAAATACTGGAGTGCAATGTTGATTACACTTCATCCTTCCCTGAGACTGAATCCTCTGTTTTTCAGTTTAGCCCTGCAGTCAGTTTCTCTGTCTTTTCTAAAACACAGCTTTTAAAAATTTCCAAATTGCTCATTATGTGTCATCAGAAAGCCCCAATATTTCAAGATGACATTGCATCTCTTCCTGTAAAACCACTTTGATTGCCAAATTCACCTCAATTTTCTTTCACGAACATTTGGAGTTATTAATAGAAATCACAAAAGATACATTTTCATCTAGAATCTACTTTACAACAAGGCAAATATATGAGAAATTGTATTGTTATTTCTATATATCTTTCTTTCTACTCTGAAACAACAAAAAAAGTTATATTCTGGGAAAGAATATTTAAAATATTATAGCCACACTCATGCTGTGAACTGCTTTGCACATACAATCCTCAGGCCACTCTGCTTCTTATGCTCTCTCATCTGACACCATCATGTATATTGTTATTACCTATGGGGAAAAATACTAGCCAACTCTATGTGAAGCTGCTGTGCAATTAACCTGATATAGTTAGATATTTTGTGAATAAAGCTGATAATTTTCTTTTTTTTTGGTGGGGTATTTATAAACTTTCATATTTATGTAGATCTGCTTGGGCTTTGCTAATTAAAGTCTGACTCTATTGGCAGTCATAATTAGAGATCTTCAAGATGAGCTCTGTTTCTTTATAATTTTTCAGACAGCAGATTGCCTAAAAGGTTGTAGTGCGGTGGCCCTAAGTCCACCTCTCCTTCCAAGTGTACAAAACATTCTTCTTAGAAAAATCAACAAAATTAAATAAAAAATATAAGGACTTTGAGGCTAACTGAGGAAAAGCTTTTAGGAGTAAATAAAGGTTAAGGAAAATGAATTTTAAAGTTGAGTTTAGTTTTTAAATTATTATTAAAACAGCAGAATTTTAAAGCTCTTTGTTTGAATTTTCCAAAACTTTCCACAAAAGCAGTTTATGTTGAGGGATATCATGCAAAGTCTCCCAGGAGTTTTTTAAGGGAAACTGATAATTGTGCTCATATGCTGCTCTTCTGTTCCTTGTGATCTAAGAATACTCCTTGTGCGTTATTAGAATTCTGTCTTCACCAGTGGAAAGACACAGTGAACATCAGTCTCTGGTCTCTAAACACACCTTAGAGCTGTGTTTAAGAGGAAATCCTTCCTCTTCAGGATCATAGAAATCTTTGTTAAGCAGTCTACATTTTCCTTTTCCACGGGTTCCCATTTTTTTTTGTGCACAATTGCAAATGCTCTTGAGGTTGCATTAAGCATGCTTAGACTGCCCCCAAGACACTCTGAAAGGGAGGTGGCTCTTCCTTCACCTCATGCATAGCCAGATTAGTCATTGAGAGAGGAATTTTAAAGAGGAACTAGTGAACAGTTAGACTTTTTTCTTTTATGGAATAATCTCATGCCAGGAATAGAGATGTCGGTTTGGATAGTAAAGGTCATAGTCCAATGCCATGGAAAATAAAACATTTTCATAGACAGATTCTTCTGCTCCAGCACTACAAAGTGCACATGTGAAAGCAATCTTTCTATCTTCTTGTCACTATTAAAAGTCAATATTTAGTACAAATATTTTTTCAACCAACTTTTTGATTAATTTGTGCATTCAAGTCTTAAAGATTGTCAACTAAATGTAGGCAATACAAAATATGACCACATGTGAAAAAAGTCTATTCAGAGATGTTTGTTCATACAGCTAAAATAGGAGAAGCTTGGAAAAAATTAACCTGGGTTTGGAACTTGTTTCCATGCATTCAGTATCTTTTTTCTGTAGAGTCTACATTTAAAAGGGAATCCACATTTTTAAAAAAGGTGTGCATCCATACCTTTAGGTCTGTGAAGGTCGCTGAGCTACTTTGATTTATAGATTTTGTGAAATAAATCTCTTGCTTTTCAAGTTTTCTGTGAGTGGCTGAGCTGTGGCTGCTGATGGTTCTATCCACAGGGTGAGAGATTTAGATGACTAGCTGTGGCTTGTGTGATGGAAGCCAGTTCAGTATTTATAGTTTATGTTTTGAAATTTTTGAATAAAATAGCATTGGGCCTGCTTTTTAATCCAAACATTTCAGTCTACGTCTTCTTTTAGTCTATTGGCATGCCAACAATTCATTCAATACAAAGTTTTGTGCTGTGACTGGACTGTGAGATTGCCATATTTCTGAAAGGTGTCAATGTGGTATGCACTTATATACCCCAAATAGCATATTTTTTCTGCTGCAAATAGATACCAAGAAAATTTGAAAGTTCAAGTAAGTGAAATAATAAGACAATAAATCCAGATGATTAAATAATTTATGTTTCCCTTGTTCTATATTTTCTCAATATTTTTATCTCATTCCTCAAAATATGAAGAATGATAGTTATGGAAATACATGAAATAAGGTACATATTTAATATTTATTAATTTTTCAAAAAGGAGTTGCAGAATGTCTGCCAGAAATAAGATTGTTTTCTGTGTAACTTATTATCGTGGTTGTAAAATTAGTAATGCCGTAAGAACCCCCACATCACCTGACTGAGAGCAAGACACATAAATCCAAGATCTCTAGTGCTATGAAAATGTCAGTGAACTGAATGGCATGAAAGTACTACAAAATATTTGTCTACCTATATACTAGCCACAAGTATGCAGTCATCAATGGAGGATTTAACTAAAAAAAAAAAAATTAAAGCTAAGATCTGACCTTCTCTTGTTTTTTAGTTAACTCAGTCACCTTAAAGTGGTTTCTTTTGAGCTATGGAATTGAGGGTCCCCATTGTGAAGACTGATGACTTACCTGTAAGTGTAATTTAAGGTTCAAGATACTGTTTTAAAGAGGGCTGCACTGACTTCAGGCACTTCATTCAAGTTATGATACTTAAATGCTAAAACCCTGCAGTTGGCATCATAGAATTGGATTGAATATGTAATGGATACACTTTAAAATGGTAGAGGATGGTAACGTAAGGATATGGGCAGGAAATAGCAAATTAATTGAAAGGTAAATTCCAAATGGTGGTGTGTTTGGCCAGCGTGTGGAAAACATGACACAGTCTAGGTGGAAGAATGAAAGGACCTAAGGGAATTCAGGGAGGGGTTGCAGGTTTAAAGGTTGGGGGATTTTTTAGTCTTTACAGTGCTCTTATGGAGACTACTATGAAGCAATGTCTGACAAGCCAAAACTGAATTTGCTTTTTTGTTTCTGATAGATTATAAATGAAGTAACTGTACAAAGCACCATGCTGACAGCAATCATGTTCAGAATACTGAAAATCTTTACAGTGCCATATATTTTGTTTAGTCTCACAACTTGAGATAAAGTTTTTCTAAGAAATACAGTCTTGAAGAATTTTTTTCAAGCTGTTAGGGTCTATGTCCTTGAATACCAGCTCTACAGCAGTCTCCATTTGTAATAATGAGCTATTGCCTCAATCTATTAGCTATGAAGCCACCTGTTTGCTCAGTATAAATAGCTTAGGATTTCCTGCAAGGAAATTACATGAAACATCAATAAGAAATGATATTACACTTTCAGGTCAATATGACTATCATTACTTGGCATTTATCTTTTCCTACTGATATCACCTTTGGCAGCCAGTATCATAGACAACTAAGACATTGTTGCTTCGTGTTTTGTTTCCATTCATGTTAAATTGGCCTGTTCAGTAATGGCAGTCATTCATTCTGCTTGCTTTAGTGGATCCTTGATATTTCATTTTTCTTATCATACACTATAAAGACAGCAATATGTAAGGATGGACTAGTGCTGTGATGCTTTCAGAGACATTAGTCTCTCATCAGGGTCTTGGGATGTAAATGCTTTTGTACATACCTTAGAAGGGTGCAGAATGAACTTTGCCTCTTCTCACTGCTGTGGATATGCCTGACTTTTTCACTAAAACAGCAAAGGGAGCTTCCTGCAGCCCTGTGCCATCTTCTCTGTGCTCTTTCTCTGATCATGTGGGAAAGGTAGCCTAAGCCTAAGAAGAAATCTCAGCTCACAGTAGATGGCTACATTTGGTTATATGCAGACTTAATTTCTGGCTTTATGTTCCTAATATTCCTTTAATGGAATATTAGTTTTTTGATTTCTCAGCCTTTTTTGTAGTCACTGCGGCCTTTGAAACATACCTACTTATTACTCACTTTGTACTTTTAAACTATATAATTTAGAAGCTGATGTTTCAGAACCTATTCTAACAACTAACATGGATATGTGGGATACTAAAATACTTCTTTACAACTGAGGGGAACTTTAATTTGAATACTGGATGTATTTACAAATGTTGGCTTTTTAATGTTGTGTCTATTTCATTTCAGTTTAAAATAATAACATGATAAACCTCTCAGATAAACTAGTAGAATAAACTTCCTAATTCATGAGTAATACTTAGTTCTTATCCCTACATTTCCAAACATTTCCAATATGTGTAGCCTCTTTTTCAATAGTATTTTTCACTAAATTGTGAATGCTTTCATCAATGTAAGCCTACAGGGATTGAGTCGTATCTGAACAAACAAGGCATTTCCAGATTCGTTGGACACCTAAATAGATTGGTTTTTTAAAATCTCTTTTTTTATCCTACAAATTTGAGTCTTAAATTACATACTAAATGACCAAATTTATATACTATGTAGAAGGCAAAATTTAACACCGGTGTATTAAGATGCAAACATTTAAGGGATTAATGTCAACGATGAGGATGCATGAGAACTAAATGTGCCAGACCTTGCAACATAACTGTTTTTTATTCAGTTATAGGTGCCCAGCGCAGGAGAAGTCCCAGTGCCCTTGCCATTGAAGTATTTGAATCACATTTGGGAAGTCATATTTTACAGGTAAAAAAATGGCTTTTCCAAGAAAAATCAAAATATCTACCTAGTCATATATCTGCCAATAATTTGAATAGTATTGTTGTCAGCACTTATATTGATGAGATTATGCTCATATTTCTTCTATTTTTGAAGTCCATAATTGGGAGAATGTTAATGAGAGGCAAGGCAAGTGTTATTTTAGCTGAATCACAACATTTTGTTGTTTAGAATTGTGCAGTAGGTGTATGCTTGCAGAATGCCCTTATGTATTTGTGTGAGTGTGTGTACAAGCCAGTGTTTTGTGTTGGTGATTTGTCTTGTCATGTATCAATTCTGGTCTGAGGTTTTTTTCCACACTTTGGCTTATGAGCACTGCTTTTCTCCATGATATCCCAGTTGTCACAATTATATATCAAAAATTTAGAGCAATCTGCAGAGATTAAAATATGAATAGAAGCATGCCTTTTAGGTGTCCTTAGCTGTAGGCTGAAAACTGGTCTGGTATTTGTCAAAAGCTCGTCACATGGCACAAGTCATCATATCCCAGGAAGAATCAACTGAAAAACAATGACCTGATGGAAACATTCTTGTGGATGATTTATTTTGCCAGGGTTACTACAGCCTTTCTTAGACTGAAGTGATCAAATGTGGAGTACAAGCAGTTAAGAAGAAAATATTATGTGCTTTGCACTAAGGCAAACCCAGCCCTATGGAAATAAAACCCACACAGTCTTTTCTAAGTGTGGCACTGAATAACTGCTCTTATTTAGCAATGTACACAGCTTCTCAATGCAAACATATTGTCTGGTGTATTATCTTTTGAGAGGTAAATTAGGATATTATCATGAGAAATATTCCACTTAATTTGAAATTATTGAGATCTATCTCTCTACACTAACTCAGCTGTGGTATTCAAAAGCACTATATAATGTCAGAATTTTCACATCTTTATAACATAACTAAATGCAGAAAAGCAACAAAGATAATTTTAGGGAAACATTAACTAGTAGAATTAATTTCTCTTCAGAACAAGAATCATGAATTAAATTATTTGCTTAGTTGTGCACTCTTGGCAAAGGTCTAGGTCAAGTTTTTGATACTGTAAGCAAATACTTTTGTTGTAGTTATTGTGTCAGAGATCTGCACCAGTATCTACAGTACTGTGTTTGCATATTAGGGAGGAACACTGCTATGTTGTCTCATTCATGTAGAAAAAAATTAAGACCTAGCATTTTTTTGATATTTCAGTTTATGTAATTTATCAGTGTGTCAACTGTATAAAAATATCATACATCATAAAGTTATGTTTTTTACAATATTATTTATAACTCATATATAAATAAAAACCCATTGAGACTGATTTATTTACACTCTTTAGGTATTAAGTATCACTCTTATAGATGAAAATGACAAAAATTAGAATGGCCGCTTTGAAAACTACTTGATATTTGAGTTTTTCATTTACTGTGTATTAGAACAATTAGTGACTTTGAACCTTGTTTAAATGAGATTTCACTTATGGGTTGTTGGATTTTTTTGGTTTTGGGGTTTTTTTTGTTTGATTTTTTTTTCTAGGTTTTTTAAAATGTATTTGTGATAAATTAAGGTGTTTCAGGATATAATTTCTTCATACTACTACTAAAAAAAACCCTGTATTGCACTTGTACTCAAAACTGAGAATTTAAAATCAAAATTACCATCAGCCTTGTATTGAATATCTGTTAAGGTGTGGCTTTTTCAAAAAAATGATGCTTTTATCAAAGTACTCCCATGAATCCCTCAGTTGATAATAAGATCCACCCTGATATTTGCAAGATAGATGGTTGATGATGGATAAATAAATTAATAATGGTGACAGGTTTATCATGACATGTTAAGATTTTTGTCTTATTTTTGCATTGCAGTCAACACATGGGAGGATAACCTGGGTTGTGCATTCAACTGCACCACTTCTAAACAGATCAGAATGAACTTCAGGGTACTGCTTTGTGGTCTAATAGGTAGAAATATAATCATCAGAAGACAAAATAGTTTGTAAAACAATTGGATAGATTTTGTAGTGGAATACAATTCTAACATGTTCTCACCTAGTCTGCTGCTCACTCAGATATTTTCAATACTCAGAAATTATTTTCAAATAAGTATCGTGGCAAATATTCCTTGCAATTGAAGTAACAACCTTGATTATACCTTGGGAACTTTGGTTTCAGAGTCTGTTATCTTAAGAATTTGAATTAATAGTTTGTGTAATCCCTTTTGCTATTAATATTTTGAAGACTTGGTTAAGTGTAAGCTCAGAAATTAAGGAGTCTCTCTAATCTTTTTAATATTTCAATACTTCAAAATTTATTGATAGACAAATATGCATAATACAGTAGATTTTTAAAAAGTGGATATGGTTTATTTAAAATGATGTTACAAAACCAGAAATGGAGGTATATCTTGTGATATTTTTACATTTTAAGTCTACAAGTAGTGTCAGTCATTTCTAGGTATACATTATATACATTAGTCACATCCACACATATTAAATCCATGTATTTACATATAATGCTTAGTCATCATTGAATGAAGAATGTCTTCATCCATGGGTTTTTATTCTATTATTAAGGAATCAAGTGTTTAAATACTGCTTAATTGATGATTGATACAGGTACTAAAGGTTTTCTCCCATATGCAGTTAAGTGCAGAAAATAGAAAAGTAAAACTCTACCAGTCATGAGAAAAATAAATTTTAAAAGTTATTAATATTGGTCTGAGATAGCATTTGTGCCCAGGGATCATACAGTTAATTCTGTTCTGTTAATTACAGACTTCATCAACTCCAAAAAAATAATGCACTATTACCTTTACATAAATTCAGAGATGAAAAATTGAATAAAAACCCCGATAAAAGGAAATATAATACTTTTAAAGGACTTAATTTGAGTAAGGCTGGATGCATCTTTGCATTTGTCCCTTCTACAAATCTAGATTAGAAACAGGCTTTTACTTTGCTTACATATGAAATCAGACACTCGTGCACTTCATGTATTTCATTTTGTGTATGAAATCCTCATGGTGAGAGTGGTGAGGCTCTGGCACAGGCTGCCCAGAGAATCTTTGGCTGCCCCATCCCTGGCAGTGCTCAGGGCCAGCTTGGATGGGGCTCTGAGCAGCCTGGGATAGTGGGAGGTTCCCTGTCTGTGAGACGGGGGGTTGGAACTAGGTGATCTTAAAGGACCCTTTTAACCCAAATCAGTCTAAAATAGTATGATTCCATGTCAAAAACTACCCAAGCCACAGCTGATTGCTGTATATCATGCTGAAGAGATTTCCAGTGGTAGGTTTGAAGCCAAAGGCACCATCCACTCAGTGCTCATGGAAAAATGGACACCACAAGAGATGACTGCTCTAACACTATTACATCAGAATCTTTATGTCAGTTTAATGTCCTTTAAATGTTTTCCAAGTAAAATCACCTGAATTATGAATAGTAGAGTGGGATGTAATGGAGGAGAAAAGTAGATAATGGCAATATGTTAATTAATTTTTACAAGATTTTTGATTTGCCAAATTATAGGCTTTGTTTTTCTTGTCTTGCACATTCTTTTTCTTCTGAAAAGTGGTGTTATAATGAGAATAGATATAGTCTGATTTATTTTCTGTATATTTATCTGTCTATCAATTGTATCCAGTAAAAAAATTATTTCTGGTACCTATTATTAAAAATTTCGCTTAAATTGGTTGTAAAAATTAGCAAGATTTTGATCAATTTTTCAGGATCTCTGGATTTTTTTTCTTTAACTTCATTGCTGTTGAGAAGGTGTGAAAAAGGGTCACTAACCCCATAGTCTTCTTATAATCAGGAATGATCAGGAAATGTAGAACTAAATATAGAGAAAAGGGAAAGTTAGTGAATATATTTGCATATGCAAATTAGCTTAATTGATACTGCTTGCCTCTACAGGGATTTTTCATTACAAACTGGAGTGCTACATTGTTCAGCTCATATTGAGTAATTTAGTAACTAATGAGACCAGTTTGCACTAATTTGCATATGATAAATGAGCTTAATTGCAGTAAATAACTTGGAGGCATAATTACTTAATTTTCCTGTGTTGCATGGCTTTTAAGTTCACGTATGAACAACTCAAGATAATTTTGCATATTTAAATTAGTTGCTTTTAAAATTCTTGAACAAAAAAGAACACACCTTACAATTTGAACTGTAAAACAATTGGAAGTATAATGTACATTATTTAAAAAAAAAATTAATATTTTGAAAATATATGTTTCTTTCTTTAAAAACATCAGTGCCTTTTTAAAAACTAAATATTTGGAATTAATCACAATGGAGTAGTTTTAAAGTCAGGCCAGGATGGAAAGATGGTATAAGTAATAATAATAGGAGTGTGTATCTGAACTGTATGAGCAGTACACGTTTTGTATTTCTGCATACAAGAGTGGTAACTTTCATAATTGCATTCTTTGCTTCAGTAGTGCCTATTCAACTGTTAAGAAAATAACACTTTCATATAGCATTGTGTACATATTACATACACAGTAACTTGGACACTAGTTGTCTTAGATTGTTTATACTGAGCTACCTCATTTTGTGTAAAGAAATCCTTATATTGGACAGATACCAAAGTGTCAGTGCAACAAAAAGTGTATTCTTTTCTTCATTTTGTGGACTTGTTCAATTGTGAGCACTGACAACTCTTATGATGTAGATTTGTGCAATGAGTTTCAAAACACACAAACAAAAACAAAGAAACAAACAAAACATAATCCAAAATCAAACTAATTGGAAGACCATAGTTAATTTCTGCCATGTCCATAAAGTTATTGCATATTAGATAATTTTGATACATTTGATAGAATTGAACTACTGAACTAGACAGAGAAAAAAGCCAACCACCAATCTCATTTATTCCCATAGCAAGATCTGTTGTGCACCCATGTTTTTTAAGTGGATGACAATTACTGAATTCTACTCTGTTCCATAAAGGTTGCCACCTACCTTCCTAGAAACTAGAAGA